GACTTGAACCACAGGTTATTCGACAAAATGCGTGTTTTTGGTTTTTAGTCGCGGAATTGTTGGAAGTGGACTCGAAGAAACTGAGCTGGTCGTTTTTGAATTACTGCGTAGTGGTCAATGGCACTGCGGTTCGTCGTAAGCAGACGGTTTCGGGGGTGTACGATTGCTTGCGAGTGTTCTCCCAGATATTGTACGCTAGACTGTTCGATTGGATAGTGAACGTCATCAATATGAAACTATCGTTCACCAGAGCTATATTGTGAGTTGAAACGACTGAGTAAAACGATCACGAATATTTACTATACCTACCCAACTTATACCCAACTTTACAATAATTATCAAACACAAAAAGAYACTCATAATAATCTGATATTGCCATAATATTATATCGTATTGTGCTGTGACATCATCGAGAAAATACAACTGTTTACAGTGGAGACACGCACGTGATCTATTTGATGGACTCGTTCGGTTTCGAATGTTTCCATCAAAACAATTTGGATCAACTTTACGTCAACTGTCTTAATGAACAACTCCAGTACCATTACAATCAACGGATATTCGCGTGGGAAATGGTGAGTGAGGGAGGGTGACAAAAAAAAGTCCATAGAATCATATTAATCAGCGGAAATATATTATTGTCTATCATTGATTAACACAGTGATAACTCAGTGCTTATACACAGAGACTAGTATACAAAATGTATTATTTCTTATTAATTTGAGCAACCGTTACGAATATAACGGCCTACAAATTGTATAGTTRTAATGGTATTATACWGATTGATTGACCAACATGCCAACCCTCATTTTTTTAATTAGATAATACAATTATTCGAAATCTGATTTTTAAATTTTTAAATACCTATTCTTAGAGATCGTATTTTCAAACAATTTKGATTTTTTCGCGTATTACTTAAAGAGTGATGTCCTATACCTATAGTGATACCCACTTTTGTTTTTCAAATGAGAACCTCCAATGTTTTCTGTACACTATTTAATGAATAATAATTGTTCTACACATTTCGAAGCATAAAATTCATTATAAGTCACTGTTTAACTAGTACAACAAGTCTAAAGATTCAAGTATGTTTAAAAATCCAAAAATCATAACTTGGTTAAGTTCATTATTAAATTAAAAATAGGGTGAGCTTGCATTATTAATCAGACTGTATATTTACACGTGATATAATGACAGCTAAAACTTAGGCAGCAGGTTAAGTAGTACTTAAAAAATATAAAGCATTTGTGACAATAATGAAGATTATGATGTATATATAAAGTATGTTATTATTATTACGCACCGGTCCATAAAATATACAAAAGAATCTTCGCATTGTTTTATGTCCTTTTGTAAACGATCGTTCTTATGGTTTGATATGCTAGTAGCGTAAATCATGGCATCTTTATATCTTATTTTTCTATGGTTTGTCGGCTCTGCGTCGACAAACAGACTAATCAAAGTGTCTGTGCAGCAAGACTTGGAGGAAGAGGGCATGGACCAGTACAGCATGCAATACCGAAACAATAAACCGATAATAGATGCACTTATGAATAACCCAGATGGACTTTTTTACATGTTTGACGATGCTACAAAAAATTGTGAAGAAAACTGTGAATACATCACAAGTAATAATCATACCATTAATATACGTATTATAG